TGTCTTGATATAAATAGAATTATCACATTGATATTAAATGAAAAGATTTAAAAAAGATTTTTAAAAAATGATGAAACATGCATATAAAAAATTTAAAAATTAAAATTAATAAATTCGATAGTGCGATGTGATTTACCTTATCTGTTGATTTATAATAACATTAATATTCCAAGACAAAAAAGAAGAATTTTTCAATTATTTTTCTATAACTAAATATCGTGATATTTGAATGGATAATTATGTTTATTTTCTAAAATACGTATTGAATATATCTTTTTTTAAAATTCAAACGTCGAGTTTAATCTGTTAAATGTTGACTTTTTATATAAATAATATCGATCGTTCTTTTTTGTCTTTCCAATAAATAATATTAAATTAAATTTACAAAATGAATATTTTCTTTCTCAGGTGAAGATGTATCAATCATGTGCCATAGTTTGTTACATAACTTATAGATTTCCTTTACGCGTGAAACAGAATCAATGATTATTGTATTTTTTTTATATGTATTTTTTTATATAACTTTTTGTCATTCATTTGTTGCAATACGTAAATCAGTACAGAAAAAAAAATAAAAAAAAAATTCCAAACTGTATCCTTTAAATTTTAATTTGAAACTTCAATTATTCAATCATGTCGTTCTTGCAGCAAATGGACGATACAAATTTAAAAGTATAAAAATAATATAAAAAGATATATGAACAATAATAATAGGTAATAATATCGAAGAAAATTAATATTCTTTGAGAATACAAAGTACAATTTAAAATATGCATCAGAAGATAGCGAAACTTGAATCCAAATATCCCTAGATATGTGTATCTACTTAGAACTATAAAGAATAAAGAATGCATCAAAGATGAATGTATTTGATAAAAATAAAAATGCAATACATTAACAGCATTATTGAGAAATATTTATTTATACGCCATTAATCAAAATATTGAGAAATCCTGAAATCTTTAAAAATATTGAAACAATTATTTATAAAATAGATCTCTTGACATTGTAAAATTTAGAGAATTATGAAAGTTTACAATAAATTTTTTGATGATGAAATTTGTTGATGAAGCTGATCTATATTAGTAGTAAAAAATATCGTTTTGATAACATTAATATTTATAAGATATTCTAAAATATTCCAATAATTCTAACTAAATTATAAGAAATAATTCTGAAGAAGATTCATCACATGAATTATTTAATAAATAATATTAATTAATCATTATATGAAAGTATTAGTTACAAGAAAAGAAACCTCCAAACCGAAAATTAATTAAAAAAATTATGAAACTTTGAGAATATATAAATATACAATTCTTTTTTTTTTTTTTTTTGGTATCTGAAATCTTTTTCAAAAAAGGGAAATCAACTATGAAAATTTATCTATTCTTCGACTTTATATTATATATATTTATATAAGAAACCTCCAAACCAAAAATTAATTATAAAAATTATGAAACTTTGAGAATATATAAAAATACAATTCTTTTTTTTTTTTTTTTGGTATCTGAAATCTTTTTCAAAAAAGGGAAATCAACTATGAAAATTTATCTATTCTTCGACTTTATATTATATATATTTATATAAGAAACCTCCAAACCAAAAATTAATTATAAAAATTATGAAACTTTGAGAATATATAAAAATACAATTCTTTTTTTTTTTTTTTTTGGTATCTGAAATCTTTTTCAAAAAAGTGAAATCAACTATGAAAATTTATCTATTTTTTGACTTTATATTATTGTATATTAGAAAAATGGGAAAAAAAAGTGACTCTACATAATATCAGATATGAATTTCAAAAAATTTCATTCTCACACAATTATGGATCATAAATGGTAATATATATTACTGATATCTATTCGCCTTGTATCAATGTGAACAATTGTTCAAAATTTCTAAATATTCGTGAATGCAACTGATGCTCATGCATTATACGTGATATTTTTGAAGATATTTGAATTAGAAAAAATGAATTTGAAAAATTTCAAAACATCATGAAATCAGATTTTAAAAGAACATATAGAATATCTAGAAAAATTAACAAATTTATCACACGATTGTATGCATATTCAGATATAACTTAATTAGATACAAATTAAGTATTGTAAATAAAACTTTATATTAAAAATATTGAAAAATATATATATATACTTTTTAATGCTGTTGAAAATAGATTCATCTAGAATCACATTCTGGCTGTGCTTTAAGGAACAAAAAGCGTTACAGCAGTAGTACAATCTGTAATCGTTGCTACACACAACTATACTCTACATTTCTACAATATCAGCTTCCTTCTTTCTCTCTTTTTTATCATTTTTGAAGAAAGAAAGAAATAAAAAAACTAATTGCATAGATCAATTTTCGTTTCGAGCATAGAAATATTTATATACTAACATTTGAAAACTTAAATAAAGAATGTTTGATGAATGAATGATTAACAAATGTTTATCTAATGAGACCTTGGAATTTTTTTATCGTTAAAATACCTATCTACGTTACAAGATACGTTACGAGTATATTGTATCTAATCTAATAAATGTTTTTTTAAAAAACATATATGTTTTTTATAAATTTATTTCGTGTAGATTACATCAAACAACAAAAAAGGAAGTATAATTTAAAATCGATATTTAAGATTTCCTCATATGAGAAGAGAAGAATTTTGTACTTAAAAATTATAATAATTACGATATTATACATGTATAGAATAATATCATCACATTAAATTATATTTCATTTTTTCATTTGCAATCAACTTTCGTCATCAAGATTTTCATCACCATGTATTGATGAGAAATAAAATAAATTTGAAGATCTTGTAGAATTTGTTCTTTCGTAATAAAATTAATAGAATCGCCTCAATGTTCCATGTTCAATTATGCTATTATACCGTGTTTATGATTATTATGCAATAAAGCCTTCTATTTACATTTTTCTTTTTTTTTTATGAATTTCATCATAACGAAGAGTAATTCATATTATTTACACTTTACTTGTATCTTTACTTGTATCCTTTCATTGATATTCATCTAATTTTTATCGAATCTTATTATTATCTGATATATAAGAAAATGAAGAAGTTTTTTAAAAAACAAAAAGATTTTATAAAATAATTGCATATGAATCATCTATGAGTTTCTTTTTTTTCTTTCTCTCTCTTTTTCTCTCTATTCCATTGATCCAATATTCAATAAAAGATAAATATATAATATAAACTTTTAAAAATTTAGCAACGAAAATTAACAGTGATTTAGCAAAATATAAATATAGCAAAATATAGCAAAGCTATATTTAGAAATATAAGAAACTATTTGTTTTTTTTATACCATCAACGATTAATATCATGAAAAGTATCAATAAATCGTTCGTTACCAGAACGAATCAATGAAACAAAAATGAAATTATTTATTGGAAAAATAGTTATGTAAATATATATTATAATAAAATATTGTAAAAATATACATGATTTTGTATATTTTAGATTATAGATAATACTAATTGTACAAGGGGTTATTTTATATATAGTGAAAAGATAAAATATTGAAAAGATAAAATAAATTTTTCTTATTTGAAATTTCGTTTTCGCATAAATTTTACCAAACTGAATACTGAATTATTGATAAAAGATTATTCTTAATGTGTAAAAATAAATAAAAAATAAAAACAAAATAAAATTTTCTTTATGTAAAAAAAACTCGAATTTTCAAATTTCATTTTCATTCGCTTCGAATAAAAACACTCATTTGCTTATAACATTAAATATTAAACAGAATTCCTTAATTCCTTAATGTTCAATATCATCAATATTTTTCATCAATATTCAATAGTATTATTCACATAAGAAATATTCTGAATAGAATATTCTGAATTAGAATAATCTATTACAGGATCAATACTTTTATCCTATTATTTTGTAATTTTTACATTTATTTTATACGAATTGAGTCTTTTTTGTCCTTATAATGAAATTTTATATTAAAAACTCGTTAACGTTTTAAAGACAACTAAAGATATCTTGAATTTAATGAGTCTTGTTCATCTTTATAATGAAATTTTATATTAAAAACTCGTTAGCGTTTGAAGACAACTAAAGATATCTTGAATTTAATGTACAATAAAAAAAAATAAAAATTTTGCAGTTTACAAAATTTGATATAAATATCAAATTTTCGATATCTTCAAAATTTTCAAAGTAATTTTTTGCGAAAAAGTAAATTTCAATTCTCTGTTTTTTTTTTATGAATTTGTAAATAATATCGTCTAAATATATTTTACAATCAAATAAATCAAAATACGATCTTTTTGATATCGTTTAATTTTTATCTGAGAAACTTTGTTTACAATATATTCACATATATATTTCACAGATTTTAACATTCTTGAAATATAACATTTTACTTTACATATGTTTTCTACTTTCGATATTGTTATTATTCCTATGATTATATTCCAGTATAATTAATTAAAACGATTTCATGAATAAAAATAAACGTATTGCATGTATCGCATGTATGCTATTATTGCTCGTTCTCATACGTTTTTATTAGAATTTATTTGAATTTTCAATCGTTCATGAAAACCATCATTTCAATCAAATATGTAAAATCAGAACACAGGTAAGAATAACAATAAAATAAAAAAAGCACAAACTTTTTCAATCCTAAAAATCGAAAGACACTTAACACGCAAAAAAGACACTCGAACAATTTTTCACCTTCCACTTATCTTTACACGTCTAAGAAATCACATCTAAGAAATCACCACGTATTTGCCACAACAATAATTTCTTAATAAGAAATACATAAATAATCCTCCTATCAATCCCATCTTTCTCCATCTATCTTTCAAGAAACAATTCTTTTTCCTTTTATCCATAACCTCACATTCGTGTAAACCTTCGGTGGTCTCGAATAGAAGGAGTAGAACGAGTCGCGCATGCGCAACACGTACATCGACAAAATAAATAACGGCGCGCGTTTCAATCGTTCCTCAAAATGTTTGCCACGTTCAAATCGTCCTATAATGCCCATCGCTTATTTTTTTTCCTTTTCCTGATTACCGCTCTTCCAAATGTATCCCAATTGGTTATGCTCGAGAGAACGAAAAATCTGATCATGAACGCGATCGGATTGAACAAATTCTTGAACGAGTCGCGAAACTTCGCCTCGAAAACCCAACCGGACAGGACACCGGGATCAAATTCTCGATACGACTTCATTGTGATCGGTGCTGGGACGGCGGGTGCGGCCGTTGCATCCAGACTCTCCGAGATCGGGGATCTAACCGTTCTTCTGATCGAGACCGGATTCGAGGAGGAGCTGTACATGGACATACCGTTGCTTACAAACTTTCTTCAACGGATACCGGGCCTCGACTGGATGTACCAAACGGAATCGTCCGAGAATTACTGCAGAGGGATGATCGGGCGCAAGTGCACTTTCCCCCAAGGGAAGGTGATGGGAGGCACTAGCGTGATCAACTTCATGATCGCTACGAGGGGTAACAAATGGGATTACGACAACTGGGCGAGGATGGGGAACCGTGGCTGGTCGTACGACGAGGTGTTGAAGTATTTCAAGAGGTTGGAGAACATGATGATACCCGAGTACAGGCACGACACGGTCTACCACGGCACGGAGGGCCCGGTCAACATCAATTACGCCCGGTTCAATACAACGGTGGCGAGAACGTTCGTCGAGGCTGGCCAGGAGCTTGGTTACCCGCTATTGGATTACAACGGCGAACGGCAAATGGGCGTTTCTCTGTTACAATCGCCTACTAACAGGGGTGCGCGAACGAGCAGCAACAAAGCTTACCTTTTCGGCCAGCGGAGGAGGAATCTTCACGTGACGAAGCTGAGCACGGTGCACAGGATACTGTTCGACGAGGGGAGGGGGCGAGCCATAGGGGTGGAGTTCGCCAAGAGGGGGCGGCTTTTCACCGTGTACGCGGACAAGGAGGTGATCGTCTCCGCCGGGGCGATATCCACCCCCAAGCTGTTAATGCTGTCCGGTATAGGGCCAGCTGAGCACTTGAAGGAGGTGGGCATAGGGGTGGTCAGGGACGCCCCCGTCGGCGAAAATTTGATGGACCACGTGGCTTACGGAGGCCTGATTTACGACATAGATCAACGCGTGAACATGATCAGAAACGACATAGCCGATATATTCCAAGGTTTCCTCAACGATTATTTCATAGACAGGGGCGGGCCGTTCACCACGCTTGGGGGTTGCGAGGCGCTCGCGTTCATCAACGTGGACGATCCCAGGGAGAGGGACGTACCAAACGTGGAGTTGCTTTTTCTGGGTACCTCGATACACACGGTGAACGTTATAGCGGAGAATTTCGGATTGAACGAGGAGATATCGAAGAAATTCAGGTCGTATCGCAATCGCGGGGCGTTGTCGGTGTTCCCTATGCTGTTGCACCCGAAGAGCAGGGGGAGGATAAGATTGAGGTCCAGGAACGTGGAGGACAAGCCGAGGATATTCCCGAATTATATGAGCGACCCGGACGACGTCAGGGTTCTGATCAAGGGGATCAAGGCGGCAAACGAGTTTCTGCTCACGACAAAGGCCTTCCAGAGATTCGGTACACGGCTTAATAACGAAACAATGCTCGAGTGCGAGAAGTTCCCTTTCGACACTGACGCTTATTGGGAGTGCAATTTGAGGCTGCTACCCCTCACTATTTATCATTATAGCGGCACGTGCAAAATGGGGCCCGAGAGTGACAAAACTGCCGTGGTGGATCCGACGTTGAAGGTAAGTTGTATTTTTCAAAAAAAAAAAAAAAAAGAAAAAAGAAATAGTAGAGTATAAAATAATCCTATTTTAAATACAATATTATGGAACAAACGAAAGGAAATTTTACAGGTAATCGGTATAAAGGGGTTAAGAGTGGTCGATGCTTCGATAATGCCGATGATACCCTCGGGTCACACTAATATTCCCACGTACATGATCGCGGAAAAGGCATCCGATATGATTAAAGATGAATGGGGATATCCGACTTCTTAATATTGCCGTTGGATAATTAAAAGTAATATATATATATATATATATATTATAAAAATTAATATATATATGTATAGGTAAGATATTTGTTTAATCCTAAATCCTACGTATTAAGAAAAAAATACGTATTAAGAATGCATTTATTAATACAATTAACCAACATATCATATTTGAAACCAATCTTGTCAGTTGAAGTATACACAATAAGAATTAAAAACTAATATATATATATAAGTAATATATTTATATATATAAGTAAGATATTTATTTAATAGATCCTATGTATTAAGAAAAAAATACGAATGCAAATTATATCATATTTTAAATTAAGTCATTAAAAGTAATTTATATGCAATAAGAATTAAAAATATATATATATATAATAATAAAAAAAAAAAGAATACAAATTAACAACGTATCACATTTAAAATCAATTTTGTGTTAGTTGAATATTATGTTACTTTCCACGTTTTAAATAACGTTTCTTTAATATAGTAATAATAATAAAGTATAAAATAAAATTTAATAAAATATAAATTGAGTAATAATGATCGTATCAGATCTAATGTTAAACACGAATCAACCAAGTTATCAAGGTTAACGATTAATTAAATTATAAATATCTAAGAATGGAAGGGAATTTAAAATGAAGAGAGTTACTTAGAAATCCAAATCCCTTTATCTCTGTATGATTCGATTTATGGTTACATGATCTGAATTTACGATCTCTGGATACGTTTCTATAATTTTCATTCAAGTATTTTTAAATTAGAGAAAAAAATCATTATTTAAACACTATTGCTTATTTTTAATAATATTTATTATAATGTATTCAATTTGAATTTTGAACATCGAAAAGTAATTTGACGAGGAATGATCCTCGTTTCATTATATTCATCTAATTAAAGAAATAAAAAAGTCGATTCAATTCTGCGATAAAAAAAAAAAAAGAAAATTGAAGAATTTTAATAATTAATTCGATTCTTTTAACAAGTTCGATCATTAATTATTTTCATTTTCCGAGAATAAATCTAATAATCTAATAATTTTTCCTCTCTCTCAAAATGTCTCAATAATGTTCTCTTTTTATCTTTAGAAAAAGTGAAAGTGAATATCCTTCACGGGTATTTACCCTTTTAAAAATATTCATTGATCGGATTAACGATGAAGGTCAGTATGAAAATAAATGATACACACTGATTGAAAATAAATCAAGACGAATATCAAAAATAAATCTGTTTCTTACCATTAAGGAAAGTGAAAGTGAATGACCAATCTTTCATAACATATTTAAATGAAAATTAAAAAAAATTAAGTAAAATTAAATAAAAATGCATTGTTTATCGCTTAAC